GTTTGTCAGTGGTGTCTAAATAATCTTAGAAAGTACATATAACTCGGAAAAAGTCACATTGGTACTTGCCGTTGGTAGGTTTCGAACCCGCACCCTCATGCATGAGAAGTGGGCGTCTTAAACCTCCGGGCCACCACGACATTTGCCATTTGCCCCCCTATTCCGTTAAAATAATTAGGTACCTGCAATGTGTAGGGTCACTGTAAGCTGTCTGCACTGGTGTCTTCCCTTCTGAAATGGTGTCGGCCGCGCTGAAGCCTCCCAGTGGGAAGCCTGTAGTTCCTGGAAATTTAATTATTTATTTATTTATTTACTAGCTGACCCGGCAAACTTCGTACCGCCTAAAAGATTTTTCTCACCTTTTAAACCTTCCCTAGACTTCCACGAACCTATCAAGACCAAAATTAGCCAAATCAGTTCAGCCGTTCTCGAGTTTTAGCGAGACTAACGAACAGAAATTCATTTTTATTTATATAGATTTATTTACTTACATTACATTTACCATAACAGGATGACCCAATGCGATAAATGCGAACTATTTAATCCTGACTTATTACTTATAACTAATTACAAACAAAGCATTCCTTGTGAATTCACTTAGAGAACAGTAGAATAAGTCCGTCTCACTCGCTATGAGGTTGAGCGTGCGGATTATTTAAATATTTTAAATAATCTTTCTAACTAAACTATCTTTTCCCTTGATCACACTATTAGCTGACTAGTAGACAGATATTCAGTTGCCTTTTTTATTTTTTTTAAACGTTGCCCCACACTAGGATGCTCTCCCGTGTCGCGGGTGCGTTTACAAACATACAAGTTCACATACACATGACACACAGACCCGGAACAACAATCTGTGGATCACACAAAGTGTTGTTCCGTGCGAGAATCGAATCCGCGATACGTTGCACGGCAGCCGGTTGCCCAGCTACATATTTCGCAGTCATATCATTATATTTGTTCATAATAATTATATTTTGTTTAATAATAAAACTGTTATTTGTTATTTTATCATCAAATGTCGGAATACTGAAACGTTACTCAATTTTAAGTCGTGCTTAAGTATAGTTCTGTCTCTACTAATTCTTTGTGAAATGACAGAGATGGCACGATATTTGAGCACGACTTAAAATTGAGTAACGTTTCAGTATTCCAGCATTAGACATTTTATTATGTAATGTGAAGGTTTCTCTGTTTAGATATTTGTCCGTCGATCATGTTGAAACTTCTAAATCTAAAATATTGGTATAACTTTGTTCTCACATAATTAAACTCAACGAAACAATATAACCAAGAATTGTATTGTGAACCTGATTGAAAAAGAGTAACCTATGGAGTTTCTTTCTCGTTCTTCTACATAGGAATCTACACTTTGGAACGAGCAAATAGAGCAACTAGAGGACTGACCTACAGACTGACATTTTTTCGTCATGTCAACGTCAAAACAAAATATTTAAATATTAACGTTGACATGACGAATAAATGTCAGTCTGTAGGTCAGTCCTCTAGTGAAGCTATTTGCTCGTTCAGAAGTTCAGAAGTGATTTCTTGGTCAAAGTTTAAAACGGATTGTGCGTACCTGCTATAGCTCCCCTAGTCATGCTGAGTCCGCGCTGTATCCGGGCAATTGCAGCTCTGTGTCTGGGTAACGGAGCCGTACTGCCCTTCTCCTGGAGCACGAACCTTCCCAAGGTTTTCCAGCCAGCCTGGGGATTAAAAAAATGTTTCTATAATAACTATCGTGAGATAAACTAAATTAACTAAAAATCGCGGGTTACTCACGGGAATATACTGTAGGTGTACTGCCTCGTTGGCAGAGTGTTTCGATTTCCGGGTCGAGCAAAGTATTACAGGGTTTTTTAAAAGTTCTCAGTAGTAGCACGGAGTCTGGAAATGTGCCCGGTATATGGCAATAGGCTCACCCCCTATTACATGGGACTCGTAACATAAATAGTGAAACGTAGGTGTTACATTGTACAGTGGTATAATGTGCACCTCTGCCTACCCCTTCGGGGATAAAAGGTGTGATGTTATGTATGTATGTATATACAGTAAGCTGCGCGACGTCGCCGCGACCGCGCACGCTGCCCCTCTGTGGTTCGAAACTAGTAGAGCTTTTCTCAGTATATTCACGTGAGTAACCCGCGATTTTTAGTTAATTAAAAAAGATGTGATTTTGGTTAAATACTCTTTTTACTGAACAATAAAATGTCAAAAATCGATTTTAATGTATTTTCTTTTTGATGGGCCGACGTTTGACTTTAAGCGATGATGCGGTCTACGATGGAGCACGACGTCCCATAAGTAACATAATTCCCATTTGAGATAAATTATGTATTCATTTATCATCAAATATTACCCGTCGTGGTGGCCCGGAGGTTTAAGACGCCCACTTCTCATGCATGAGGGTGCGGGTTCGAAACCTACCAACGGCAAGTACCAATGTGACTTTTTCCGAGTTATATGTACTTTCTAAGATTATTTAGACACCACTGACAAACGGCGAAGGAAAACATCGTGAGGAAACCTGGCCTTATAATTTCTAATTATAAGTTTGAAATCGCCAACCCGCATTGAGCAAGCGTGGTGATTAACGCTCAAACCTTCTCCGTGTGAGAAGAGGCTTTGCTCAGCAGTGGGCATATAATATAGGCTGTTGATGATGATGTATTCATTTGAGCCGTTAGATAGTCTTCTGATAGTGGTTGAAAGCAAGACTGTCAAAGTAGGAGGTCTTAGGTTACATTGCGGGTCGGGTAAAATACATATAATAGGCACTACTGATACCACGAAGTCAAATTATTGGCTCCGTACATTAGGTTCTCACCTTAGTATATGAGACTGATAAGATAATAGGGATGATGACAGGGTATGAAAATTAAAAATCTAATTAGTCCGTAAGTTAGGTAATGAAAACATATTAGACACGCATTCTTTTTTATTTTGTCGTAAAATAAAACAATACTTAGTTAAAACGAATCAAAGTTTAGGAGTGGGGGCTAAAACGTCATTTCTACGTATAAAATGTACATAGAAGTGACGTCACGCGACACTTCAAATCAATATATCGACGAAAGTATTCGTTTCTGTAAGAAAAGACAAAAATAGGTGTCTAATGATTTAAAATAATCTACCAGACGGATATTAAAATAAAAAATAGGCATCTACCATATTCTGACCTCAATAAGCTGCCCAGGGAACCCTATGGTATTAAAGCCGTTTCCAACAACTACCCCGTAAACCTTCATTAAAAGTTATTTATCGCGAGGAAGTACTTAAACGAACCCCTTACCTGTACTGTTAGGTGTCATTTATAAGTTGGTATAAATTAATTAAAATAACGTTAAGTGCCTATTGTAACTTAAGAGTTCCTTAAAATTTAAGAGAGTTTGGTGAAAGTGAGCAATAATCTATTACCAAAATCTTCTCTAAACTCCTCACCTGAGCAGCGTAAACCACTTCATCATCAGCTAGAGCCCTCTGCTGCGGCCCAGTACCAGCTCGTCCACCCCACTCCAACTCCTCGACCAGCACGAAGCGCTTCGGGTCGTCATGGCAACGAGCTTTTGTTAGCGCCTGGTACACTACATATGATGCTGACGCTGTCAGTGGGACCTGGGAAACGGAAAATTATTTCTAGGCTGGTAAAAAGAATTTAAAATAATAGAGGTCGCTAGTATCGTACCTGTGGCAAGCAAATATTGTAACTTTTAGATTTTACAGTGTAATATTGTAACTTTTA